TTTTTAAATTGGGTTGTTTGTCTTTTTTTGTAGAGATGTTGTAGTTTTCTATATATTTTAGAAATAAGTTCCTTGTCTGATGTGTCATTGCAAAAGATTTTTTCCCATTCTGTGGGTTCCCTTTTTACTCTTCTTGTGAAGTCTTTGGATGCACATAAGTTTTAAATTTTTAGTATGTCCCACTCATCTATTTTGTCTACTTTTGTTTGTGTAGTTTTCAAAATGTTTGGTAGTCTGTGTATTCCCTGAATTACTGCCCTCACATTTGTCTCTATTTTTTCATTGATGGCCTTCATAATTCTGGGATTCACATTTAGGTCCTTAATGCATGCTGAGTTGGTTTTTATATACAACGTGAGGTGAAGATATTGTTTCAATCTTTTGCATATTGTTTTCCAGTTCTGCCAGCACCATCTGTTGAAGAGAGTATCACTTCCCCATGTGATATATTTAGGTATTTTGTCAAAAATCAGTTGGCTGTATGTGAATGGGTTAATTTCTGGATTCTCGATTCTGTTCAATTGATCTATGTATCTTTAATTGTATCAATACCAACCTGTTTTGACTACTGTAGCCATGTAGTAAAATTTGAAGTCAGGGAGTGAGATTAGCCTCAAATTTTTATTGGGACTAATTGAGAATGGATGGATCTATAGATGTAGATATAGATAAATTTGAGCAAATATTCAAAGATATTTTCAACCATCATTGCTGGAGTTACAAATGAGATAGAAAATAGAATCAGTTTTCTTGAGCCACTAGCTAGGTGCTCAAAAAATATGTACTGGATGAGTGGCTGAATGAATGATTAAAATTGAAGTTGCTTATTATGAACCTCATTAGAGGCATTAGAGAATAATACAAGGTGAATAAAATCAAGTGTCTAGATTATGTGATATAAATTCTAAGGTTTGAAAGGTTAGCTGTTTTTGTAGAGTACAGAAAAATCTTTCTTGGAGGTCAGACTTGTGCTGAGGATTTGCAGAAAAATGATATTGGTGTAAGGATGAACAACCAAAGTCAATAGACTTAACATTTACTTTGACAAATATTTAAGTCTATCTTACTCTGAACTTTTGTCTATATTATCTTTTTTCAGACATTACATAGTTAATATCTTGGTGAATATTTAGAAGGCAGTTTAAAACCACAGTATGTTCAGATCATGAAGCACCTAAGATAGCATCATAAGGACGAAGAAGATTAAATGTGTCCATAATTACAGAAACAGTTAGTGGCAAAGCCAACACTCCGGTCAAGGTTTTTAAACTATGCTACTTCTCAGATCAACCCAAAAAAGCAGCCAGCTGATCCACAAAGTTTTGAGTTATAACAAATCAGTCAGATTACATTTTTAAATGTTATGCTAAATTATTGTTGCTGTTGATGTTAAGTGTTGTGGAGTTTGTTCCGACTCATAGCAACACTTTAGAGTTTCTGAGGCTGTAAATCTTTGTGGGAGCAGAAAACTTTATTTTTATCCTGGTAAGCAGTTGGTGAGCAAAGTGCCAACCTTGTGGTTCTCAGTTTAGCACTTATCCTCCAGTTGTTGTTGTTAAGTGCCGTTGAGTCAGTTCCGAACCATAATGACCCTGCTTAGGGTTTCCAAGGAGCAGCTGGTGAACTTGAACTGCCAACCTTGAGGTTCAAACCAACTTTACAGTCCAGCACATTAACCCACAGCAGCACACCAGGACTCCTTCCTTATCCTCCAGAGCCACTGCTAAATTACAGGATAAAACTGAAAATTAAAGGCTAAATTATCCTAAATTAAAGGATCAAAAATAAAATTTCCTTTTAGAAAGTCTTTGAGTACTCAAAAATGTTAATTGATAAATTAAATATCAAAACTACTTAAGAAAAAAAATAGTATTATTATAAAATTAGACTTAAAATACACACACCTGAGGGGGCTTCAAAAAGTTTGTGGAAAATTGGAATGAAAAGATAATGGCACTTTTCCATGAATTTTTTGAAATCCCCTTGTATATTGTTGTTGTTGTAAAGTGCCATCGAGTCGGTACCAACACATAACAGCCCTATCTATACATAACAGAATGAAACGCTTCCCGGTTCTGGGCATACTATAGTTATTATTGTATTTAAAATCATTAGGCATAAAAGATACTGGCAGTTGAAGCCCGAAGAATGAATACACCTGAGTTCTTGCCACTCTCTAGGTGGGAATGGCCTGGGTAATGAGGAGGCAGTACCGTTTAGAGGGCTTTGGGGGATTGGGTTAAGACAGTGGTGTAGAATGCCCCATTAGGGAAGTTACTTAACCTCTAATGTTTCTTATTCTACTAAGTGGTAATATTAATTATTCCTCTATTATAAAGAAATATGACAAGGTTTAAATAAGGTAATGTATGATAGGGGTTTAATAGAGTGTCCAGGACAAAGTTAGCACTAAATGATAGTGACGATGATGTTGTTGACAATGACAATAGTCTGTCCTCTCTGAACTAGTCTAATTCTCAAGGTCAAATTTTCATGGTCTGATGGTGACCCCTAAGGTGAAGAAAGAGAGTAGAGGCTAGGATTTCTTCCTGCCAGAGTCAATTGAATAGGCTTAATAACATAATTTAAATGCTAAAAACCAAGCTAATCACAGTGCATCTGAATCTTTAACTGCCTATTGATGGGCCCAGAATTAAGACAGGCCTGTGTTTATAGGATGTGGGCAGAACTGTTCCCAGGAGACTCTGCTTATTGTTGGCATGAGGCTCCTAAGGGCTCAGTATACTTACCTTCCCTCCAAGAAGTCTCAGAAGACCTCTACCTAAACCACTGAGGTCCTCCACTAGAAGTCCCTTTCGGTCCAGGAATCAATGTTCAGCTCTGAATGGACCATAGAAAAGGTTCCCCTCCCCCTTTTTAACAGCTACCAAGGAGCTCTGGTAGCGTAGTGGTTATGAATCGGCCTGTGAACCTCAAGGTCAGCAGTTCGAAACTACCAGCTGCTCTGTGGGAGAAAGGTGAGGCTTTCTGCTCCCGTAAAGATTTACAGCCTCAGAAACCCTGTTCAGGGTCGCTATGGATCGGAACCGACTCGACGGCACTTAACAACAACAACCAGTAAAAAGCAGTCCTGGTGTGGCACTATAGGATCAGCACTGGCTGCTAACCATAGGTTATGGTTCAAACCCACCAGTTGCTCCTTGGAAACCCTATACAGATCTCTGTGAGTCGGAACTGATTCCACTCCACATAACAACAACAGTTGTTGTTATGTGCCGTGGAGTCGGTTCTAACTCATAGAGACCCTGTACAGGGTTTCCGAGGCTGTAAATCTTTACGGGAGCAGAAAGCCTCATCTTTCTCCCGCGGAACAGCTGGTAGTTTCAAACTGCTGACCTCACGGTTTGCAGCTGGATTCGTAACCACTGCACTACCAGAACTCCTAACAACAACAGTAAGAAGGGAGTCATGGTTTTCATTTCTCTATCACTTCAGGTTACTTCTCGTCACCAGTAGTGTTTATCCAGGCCCATGAGAATGAGCCTTTTCTTACACTCTCAATTCCAAGTGTCCAGAATGTCCTGACCACCATGAGTGTACCCTGCTGGTATTTAAAATACCAGTGGCATAGCTTCCAGCATCACAGCAACACACAATCCACCACAGTGTGACAAACTGACAGATGAGTAGTGGCATATGCTAATATATACTAATTGCATATTCCTTTTGTTCTTCAGTTCCAATAAAATTCTATAATAGAGCCAGTTACAAAAGGGTTCTAGATCAAAGGAAACTATAAGATTGAAGTATATGAAACTGCCATTTTTATACATAAAAAATGGGTGACTTCTGTCAATTTCATGTTATTCAACCTATTCAAAGTTAATAAAGCCTCCATGTGCACCTGGCTAAAATTTGAATCTTATCAAGAATATTGTTAAGTGCCTTCGAGTTGGTTCCGATTCATAGCAACCCTATGTAGGGTTTCCCAGGAGTGGCTGATGGGTTCAACCCACTAACCTTGCAGTTCAGCCATGCGGTAGAGTGTTTATCCTATAGCGCCACATCAGGACTCCTATCAAGAATGGACCTCCCTAATTAATCTTTGTTTTCAGAGTTAAATAGATGTAATCTGCATAGTTAAAGATTTTTGATAACAAACCCAGTTTTGTTAGCTTGTTTAAAAGCTAAAAAATTTACATAAATGAGGTCAGAATACAGTTTTTTTTTTTGTAAAAATGTAGCATATTACAGATAAAGCAAATTCTCCTTTGACCACCACCCAGTGTCTCAGCTCCCTCCTCTTCCCAAAGAAAAACATTGTTTTGAAAGTTGTGTGTGTTTTTTAATTGCCAAATGTTTTGCTGTGTATAGTGCTTGCTTTTTTTTTAAACTTTTTTGTGTGAATTGGGTGAAGGTTTATAGAGCTGATCAGCTTTCCATTCAATAACTTTTCCACATTTTGCTTCATCTCATTGATTGCAATGCCTTGTGTAGATTCTATTTTTTCTCATTTTTTGAACTTTTTATTGTGAATTGGATGACGATTTACAGAGCATCTCAGTTTTCCATTCAATGACTCATATACACATTGCTTCATCTCATCAGTTACAATCACAACAATGCAGCATCGCTTATTCCACTTCCTCTCTCTGTTTCCCATTTGCGTTTCTCCTTGTTTCCTAAAATCCTGTCTGTCTTCTGAACATTGTCATTGGGCAAATGCCTCCATCTTAGTTTCAAATGGTTGATTAGTCTATGGAATGTGTGTCTCCATAGTATTATTGTTCACTTTATAAACCTATTGTTTTGTTTTAAATTTTGGAATGTATCTTTTCAGAATTTAAAACAAAACATTAACATTCTTATTAATATTGGGTTTGCTTTGCCTTCAAATAAATGACACAAAATGGTACATATTCTATTCTGCTCTGTTGTAGTCTTTCATTTAAAAAAAAGTCAACTGATTCATTAAAGTGTCAAAACTCGCATTTTTAGAAAACAATGTTTAGAGTCAGAAGTACGTACAGTAGGTGTTTGAAAGGGTCGTGGTTATTGAAAGGACAATCCCAAGTAGCTTCATCTTCCTTTTAAAACCCTTATAGAATTCTGATGCAGTTGACCCCAGAATTATACTTTGAGAAATCTTGCTTGTGAAGCTTTTTAGGAAAAGGCACAGGAATTCCACTTGCTTCCTAAGGAAAGAAAAGATTGGGGGAACATTATGGCTGGAGAGCGCCATCTGGGTTGACTCTTTAGTAGTGTTATGACATTGACTTGACTTAAATCGGTCTCATTTGGCTTTGAAACCAGAGTCAGTCTCCTTCTGGAGTCCTTAAAGCCAAAATGGATATGGGGACAAACAAGAGAGGGTAGTGGTGGTGGTTGCTTTGAAGCGCTGGATGGAAGTACTGGAGTTGCTGTGGAGGGCAGGGTACTCTGATAGCCTGCATTTAGGTGGTCCCAGAAAGCAGTTATTTGCTATAGTGGCTGAGTCAGAAGACCCTCTACCATCGTTGTTGAGTTGATTCCAACTCATAGTAACAGACAGGACAAAGTAGAACTGCCCCCATAGGGTTTCCAAAGCTGTAAATTTTTACAGAAACAGATAGCCACATCTTTCCCCTGCAAACCTTTTGGTTTGCAGCTGAGAACTTTAACCCCTGTGCTTCCAGGGCTTACTTACAGTGAGTGACCAAGGCAGCTAAAGCTCCACTTTTATCAATCTGTAGGTCTAAAAGCCTTGAGAACATACTGGCTTGGTTTTCATCAAGAAAGCTTAAGAAAAGATTTCTGTTGCTTGGCTGGGATGATTCACTGGACTGGGAGATAGAGCAACTAGATTGCCTTTACAAATTTCCCCCCGATTAGCTGTGGCACTTCAGTCAGCTTGCCTCTTGGTGCCAGTTTTACCCAAAATTGGTTCTCATCAGGTACTATGCTAAATAGAGGGGAATGTGATGATTTCTACAGAGTACTGTGTTAATTTGATGGAATACAACACTTGAAGGATAACTAACCTTTGGGAAATAATTGTTTTTCCTTATCAGAGATCAGAAAAGATGCGCATTGAGATAGTTTCCCTGGCCTTCTACCCAGAGGCTGAAGTGATGTCTGACGAGAATGTGAAACAGGTGTATGTGGAGTACAGATTCTACGATCTACCCCTGTCGGAGACCGAGACTCCTGTATCCTTGAGGAAGCCAAGAGCAGGAGAAGAGATTTACTTCCACTTTAGTAAAGGTGAGGCACTGTGTGTGCTTATGGGAAGAGAAGGCTGACAGTGTTAGACTGAGAGATCAGAACTACCATCAACTTCTTAGATTCTACGGTGTATATTCAATCATTTCATTTTATTTATCAATTATCATGTATATGCATATGTCTTTTAAAAAGTCATATAGGCCAAAAATATTTTAATTAAGAAGAATCAGTCCTTTACCCCATCCTTCTCCACAACTCATCTCCCACCACAGTCATCCACAATTCATTTGAACTTTTTCAGCTATTTCTTCTGGTATTTGCTTCCATATTTCTAAAAAATATTTTGAGTGCAATTTTCAAATTAATCAGTTTTAAACATTGTCCTGAGAAAATATCACAAACCACGCCTCCCAGAATCCTCTCTTACTCAGCTGAGTTTGATAATTCATTTAATGGCCACTCAGAACTCAGGCACCATAATCACAGTTACGGGGTTTATTGGGGAAGTTATCAGGTTACAAGTCAGAGTCAAAATGCTTAGGGCACAAATTGTGCCAGTCAGGACAGCCTTTCCTCAACCATGCCCACAGTTATTAAAAAATCAAGTGTAATACAACACTTGATTTTTGTGTACCTGGTCAATGGTACAAAGCTCTTTTAGGGCTGCTGATAAATGCCCACAGGACGTACACTCCACCATATGCCTCAGTCTGAAAGCACTGGGTCAGCAAATCTTTGTTGTTGTTGTTAAGTGCCATCAAGTTGGTTCCGATTTATAGCGTCCATGTATAGGGTTTCTGAGGCTATAAATCTTTGTGGGAGCAGAAAGCCTCATCTTTCTCCTGAAGAATGACTGGTGGTCTTAAACTGCAGACCTTGTTGTTTGAAGTCCAGTGCTTATCCTACAGAGTCAGTGTGCTTCCCAATTGAGTACCTGAAGATAACTTACTCTTCAAGCAAGCCTCCTGCTCCAAATCACTCAGCTTTATTCACTCCATAGGCTGGGAAGCCACTGTTCTCTCTTGTGTTCTGGCTCTTGACTTGCTCCTCTGTCTTCCTCTAATGTCACAGCTTTCTGTCCCTGGGTCAAGGAGGTTCACTGCACAGGGATCTCTGGGTCCAAAGAACGTGCTTCACTCCCAGTTCTTCTTCTTTAATGGTAGTGAGATCATCCTGTATTCCTGTTTCTGAGACGGCTTATTTTATATTTGCTGGAGTTACAGCAAATATAAAATCACAATTAGCCCTGTTTTCCATTCACAGCTGAATCATACATATCCAATCAGCATCTTCTCCCACCTTTTCTTACCAAGACCCATCAAAGCAAAAATATTGTTTGGTGGGAGTTTACAAAGACTATGGCTAAGAAGAGACATTAAATAATCCACTGTGCCACAGTCCACTAGCTTCCTATCTTGGAACATAAATTTAGATCGCTTTCACCACCCCCATGTCCTTTCCTTTCATTATAGTTTGGTGATGGTTTTTATTTAAACCAATTTTAATTGTTTACATTATTATTTAAATATAAATTTTTTGTAGAGAGCCAAATAGTATGAACCTGACTATACATTTTTATTTATTATTTTGCTTGCCTCCATTTTTCATTTGCTTTATTTTCATGAAGTTGTTGTTGTTGCTGTTAGGTGTCGTCCAGTCAGTTCCAAATCATAGGGATCCTACGTACAATAGAACGAAAACTGTCCAATTCTGCGCAGTCCTCACAATCATTTAGATATTTGATTGCAGCCATTGTATCAATTCACCTCACTGAGGGTCTTGCTCTTTTTCACTGACTCTCTACTTTACAAGCACTTATGTGACATATTTCTCCAGGGACTGCTACTGCCTGATAACATGTCCAAAGTACATGAGATGAAGTTTCTCTTGCCAGCCTCACTTTTCAGGGTCATTCTGGCTGTATTTCTTTCAAGATAAATTTGTTCATTCTTCTGGAAGGCTATGGTATGTTCAATATATTGCTCCAAAACTAAAATTCAAACACATTGATTCTTCTTTGGTCTTCCTTAATCATTGTCCAGTTTTCATATGCATATGAGGCAATTAAAATAGTATAGCATAGATGAGGTGTGTGCACTTTAGTCCTCCAATGACATCTTCACTTTTAACACATTGATGGGGTCTTTTGTAGCAGGTGTACCCAGTGTAATACATCGCTTAATTTTTTGATTGCTAAAATCCTTGACATCTTCAGTTGTTTCTCTATTCATTGTGATGTTACTTATTGGTCCAATTATGAGGATTTTTGTTTTCTTTATGTTGAGATGCAATCCATACTGCAGATTTTTATCTTCACCAGTAATTATTTCAAGTCCTCTTCACTTCCAGCATGCAAATTTGTGTCATCTGCATATTGCAGGTTGTTAATAGGTTTTTCTTCAATATTGATGCCTCTTTCTTCATCATATTGTCCAGCTTCTTGGTTATTTTCTCAGAATACGGATTGAATAAGTATGGTGAAAGGATACAACCCTGACACACACCTTTCCTGATTTTAAACCATGTAGTATCCTCCGTAAGGAGTTCTGGTAGTGTAGTGGTAATGAATCAGGCTGCGAACCTTAAGGTCAGCGTTTGAAACTACCAGCTGTTCCATGGGAGAAATATGAGGCTTTCTGCTCCCGTAAAGATTTGTAGCCTCAGAAACCCTGTGCTGGATCACTAGGAGTCGGTTCTGACTCCACGACACATAACTACCACCACCAGGATCCTCCGTATTCCCTTACTCTGTTTGAACCACTGCCTCCTTGTCTATGGGCAGGCTCCTTATAATTAAGGAACATAATTACGTGCTCTGGAATTCCCATTCTTCACAACGTTATCCATGCTTTATTATGATCCACACAATCAAATACTTTTGCAGAGTCTATAAATCTCAAGTAAACATCTTTCTGGTATTTTCTGCTTTCAGTCAAGATCCATGTGACATCAACTATGATACCCCTTGCTCTATGTCCTCTCCTGAAACCAACTTGAATTTCTGGCAGTTCCTTCTTGATGTACTGCTATAACCATTTTTTTATCATTCTTTTTAAATCCTCTAACAGCTTCAAGCAATCAGACCTATTAAATAATTTGTATATTTATCCTTTTTTCTCCCTGGAGAAACTCTCTCCATCCTCTTACTCCTTTCTAGCTCATTGTTAAGCTATTATCCCACTGTTGTTGTTGTTAATTGCCATCGAATCGATTCTAACTCACAGTGACCCTGTATAGGGTTTCCAAGGAGCGACTGATGAGCTTGAACTACCAACCTTGTGATTCAAACTGATCTTGCAGTCCAGCAGTGCCACTGTTACCATCCCAATAATTTGATTTGGTTCCCTCCTTCATGTTGTTGTTGTTAAGTGCTGTTGAGTCGGTTCCAACCCATAGTGACCCTGTGTAGGGTTCCCAAGGTGCGGCTGGTGAGTTTGAACTGCCAATCTTGCAGTTCAAGTGGACCTTGTGCTTATCCTATTATGCCACACCAGGACTCCAATTCCCTCTATACTGGTTTTACTGTCTCCTGGATCCTCTGTCATGCTCTTTCTATGACTTTCCTTGTTTTTGTGGATCATATTTTCTACTAATTTATTAAGAAATATTATTGGAAATAAATTTATAATACATAAGTCACTTTATTCTATCATCACACTTGATTGATATTTTGAACAGAAATCTAGGTGGCAAACATTTTCATTCAGAATTTGAAAGCAACTGGTTTGTGGTATCCTAGATCCAAGTGAAAAGTCTAACCTTTTTTATGAACACTAGCACTCCCTTCAAAGGAGCTCTGGTAGCGTAGTGGTTACAAATCGGGCTGCGAACTGCAAGGTCAGCAGTTCGAAACTACCAGCTGTTCCGCGGGAGAAAGATGAGGCTCTGCTTCCGTAAAGATTTACAGCCTTGGAAACCCTGTACAGGGTTGCTATAAAGATTTATAGCCTTGGAAACCCTGTACAGGGTTGCTATAAAGATTAATAGCCTTGGAAACCCTGTACAGGGTTGCTATAAAGATTTACAGCCTTGGAAACCCTGTACAGGGTTGCTATGAGTTGGAACCGACTCCACGGCACATAACAACAACAACAACAACAACAAGCACTCCCTTCAGAAAATTAAGATCTTCTCTTTGTATCTAGTGTTCTGAAATTTCAGAATAACGTGTGTTTTTCCTGGCTATTCTATGGACTCTTTCATTGTGGCAGCTCATGGCTTTCAGTTCTGGGATATTTTATTGTATTTCTTTGATAATGTTGTCCCCAATATTTTATCTTTTTCTTAGTAAAATGTTGGGTCTTCAGAATTGATCCTCGAATTTTATCATTTTCATCCTAAAATTCTCCATCTTTTTTTCTTTTTCTTTTTACTTGTTGAGAGATTTCCTTAATTTTATGTTCCCATCAGCTGCTCCTTTGAAACCCTATACAGGGTCACTATGGGTCTAAACTGACTTAACAGCACTTAACAAGATCATCATCTATTAAGTGTTTATTTTACTTTTTTTTTGTTCTTGACTTGTTTTTCTTTCTTTTTTTATTATATCTCATTTTAGTATATTCTATCATACAAGAAAGAAGTTTTGCTTCTCACTCAAGTTAAACAAGTTCAGAGGGGGACAGTTGAGGGCTCTCATGGCAGTCACATGATACTATCTTTCCTTTCTATCAGTTCATTGTTGGCATTGAGTTGATTCCAACTCCAGAGTAGAACTATACTTCATAGGCTTACCAGGCCTTCTGAGATATTTCTTGATGGTTTGAAACACAAATCTTTGTCTTAATGGTGCGGCTCTGGAAGATTTGTGTCACCTTGACACCTTGCTTTCTACCCTCTTAATTAACCCATGGCCTTTGATGGTTGCTAGAGAAAGGAAGAATATTTCCCAGGTAAGCCTTTTAATCAGCTTTCCTGGTGTTTCATATAACACAGTGACCAGAACTTAATCATTTGGCCTTATCTAGCTAAGAAGGAGGCTGGGAAACATAGGGTAAGTTATTTGAGCTGCAACATTCTCATGTAAAGAGGTAAGGAAG